TCAGGTGACTATGCCAACAGACGAATTTGCTTTATTTAAATTACCTTTTGAGATTTACATCCCAGTCTTGCCATGTTCACTTGAACATCATGTAATTTATCACAAATCATTAAAATTCAACCATATTTATCTGGTGCAGGTTTGTTTCCATTTCCCCAAATTTAAAGTGTTTGCAACATAGACCAAAAAAAAAAAAAAAAGAAGAAGTTTGATGTTAAATGCCAGAGTTATCACTACAAAACACTCAAAAAAGCAAAGACATCCTTCTTTGGACCACTGGAATTTAAAAGAGTGGTATGTAGGATTGGCTGAAAAATTGATGCAACAATGAAGTGTCTCGAATAATTAAATTAACAATTGTTTTGTTCAGATTGGGTCTGCATTTTTAGTTATATGAATAAAGTATTTCCATAGATTACCTTTACTTATATGAATTACTTTCTGGGTAGAAATACTGAACATGGCTATTTAAAATATTGATATTTCTCCTTAGAAAGGTGAAGTTTCCTTCAATCAGAGCTGGCTTCTGGTGATTTCAAGGACATGTCCATGTAGTTTCCTTGGGAACAATATGGAAGTGACTTGCTAATGCCGTTTTCTGGAATGTTTTTCCACTTCACAGTCTAGCATACAGCCCTGGGATTTCCTGATGGCTTATTTTACTGAAATAGAGTAACAGTATGGTATCTTGTATTTTATTTCCCAATTTATGTATTCAGCTGAGGGCTCTTCAAAAAAAGTAAGTTCAGAAGTTTATGAATTCTTTCCTGAATGTTTCTGGTTTGAGTAATGGCATGACCAAAGGTTCAATAAAACAGTTACCCAAACATTCATTGAATTAAAAATGGATTTTGTAAAGCAATTAGAAAGAAAAGTTAGTCATACCTAAACAACATATATTATGATTCTGACAGGTTTCCTGGCCTGGCTTATTTGCAAAATTAGCTTCCTTCTGGAATAACTCATTGTGAGCTACTGGTAATTTTTTTTAAAATACTGAGAATTGTTTATGTTCTTACACAGTGTGTTATATGTACATTATGTATAGTATATACTACTGGAAGGAAAGAGAAGAAGAGGATAACCAGCAGCAAGCTGGATGGACTCAGTTACACTGGCGATGGGTGTACTGTTGGAAGTCCTGAAAGAACAGGTTAAGGACAGACCATCATGGAGAAAATCCATCTATGCTGTCACTAAGAACTGATACTAACTTTATATTAGTATAATATTATTATTAATATTAGGCTGTGCAGCATTTTGGATTTGATTACAAAAAGGTACTTCGGGGTGTGCAGAGATGTGAGTGTAGCACCATCTGCAACTCCTTAAAGCAATGGTGTCTTTTCTAAAGAAAAGCAATTTTTCTTAAAGAAATTGCTGAGCAATCCCAGAAAAAGATGCAGAAGCTTTAAAAAGTTACAGATAGGTACTAAGTTGAGCCTATAAAAACCATTTCTTCATATTATGTGTATTATGCATACAGTAATAATGACACTTCTCAAATACCGGTGGTACTGACCAGGTTACTAAAGAACTCCAGAAGTACAGGACTGCTTGCCACCGGGAGGGTTGTGAAGAATTCCAGCTCACGTGAAAGCATTTGCATATACGTAAAGATTCCTTGCTGCAAACAGCCTTGCTCTATCTATGGGTAATCTGCTATTCCCTGGGATATTCAATTCTACATAAAAATGTATCGCCGAACAAGGTTGAAATTGCCTTTATATATTTCTACAATATTTTGAAAACAGCCAATTTGATGTCTTAAATTGAATCATCTCTTCAGACCAAAACTTTGAATCCATTCCTTCAAACAACCCTAGAAATCAGGTCTTTATTTGAAGTTGATGCATTGAATAATGGAATGGAGCATGGGATGGTCAAGTGCTCAGGCTATATAAGCTCAATGCTCATAAGGTCACATACCCTGAAAAAGATCTACATAATTCATTATACTGCAATTCCATTTTTCTTCCAAGAAACTCAGGGCAACATTTGGTGTCTTCTATTTACCCTTACAACAACTCTGAGAGGTAGGTTAGGGTAAGTGGCAGAGCTTCTGATCTCTAAAGTCCTAGGAAAATACTTCACAATCATTGCACCACTGTGACTTGTGTGCCAGTCAGAAAAATCCCAGCCATGGTGACTTATTACTACCTGAAATAAGGGGATGTAGAATACTCAAGAGACTATAGTACATTTGAAGGGGAGGAGGGGTAACAAACTGAGCTCTTGTGTGTGAAAAACAGCGCATCTGAGCATATATAAAATACTCCCTACTGAGCAACCAGAATTGATCTTGCATGAAGTACAAGGACTTTCAAGGCAAAAAAAGCATATTCCAGGCTAGTTAAATAGTTGGAGTGGAGTGGTTTCTATGGAATGACTTTCAGAAGACAGTCTTCTGTTTGAAGGCATCTTGGTTTGAAGGAATGTCCTTGGTGGTGCCAGAAATTTGAGGACTCTCTGATTCACGATTTGGACATGTCCATCCATGGCTCTCTCTTTTTTTAGGGGGGGGGGGTTCAAGTCAGTACATTATAACTCTGGGGAAAAGGTAACAGTTAAAGTTGTAAATGTGATGTTGAATTATACTACCAAAATATGGAATATGACATTTTATGAAGAATTCTGGCTCTATAAAGCTTGGGATTTGGCAAATTATTCTATGTAGGTAGAAAGTAATTGACAGCCCCTATTGATTTTTGAAGTGCCTTTATATTGTAAAAACAGATAGATGGTGAAGTATGTTTCTAGATGGTCTAGATCTAATGTTACATTATGCAAATTCTATATTAGTATTATATGGATTCCCTTTTTCTCCTTCAGCTTTAGTTCACTTTAATAACTTTTATGCATTTCTTTTTTAACTGTGTTATCACTTTTGTATTGTTGTTTCTTCTGTTTATTATATTTTGGTTTTAACAGTTCACCTCCCAAAATAAAATTATTAAAAAAGAGGAGGTCACATTAAAAACAACTTTGAAGAAATGTCAAGTCCAAATCCAGTTTAAGATAAAGAGCCACCAGAAAGGAGAAGACCAGGAATTTGAAATTATCCATAAAGGTCCCTGTTCTCTTGTTAGGGTTCTTTCCCCTTAAACTGAATATGGACTGAACAGCCCTTTGAATAGAGGACTGTTTTGGACAAAGGGATCTATATTGGTAAATGAGGGAAATATGAACCAAAAAGCTCTAAGTCTGTAGGGACCCACTCCCCCTGCAAAAAACAAAACCAAACCCTAAACCCAGTAGCCTAATGCTTGAAATTGTATTTGCTCTAAAAATGCATTAGTTACTCCTTAATATTTTAGAATTCAGCACCCTCTCAATCTAACTGATCTGTGAACTTAGGCAAAGATATTGATTGTTAATATGCTTCCAAAAGACAATAAAAACCACCAGTCTCACAATACTTTACAAAGTAATAAATTGATTTCTGTACCCACTTTAGTGGCTGTCTTTGTCATCATTATGGAAATTAAATGCTGCTGTGAAAGAAATATTTAGAGATAATGATGCCCTGGAAGCTTTTAAGTCAAAAGTAGAAGGTTCAGAATTCTCATTTTCATAAGAAGCTCTGACTTTGTTCCAATGAACATTACTATTTTTCATAATTCAAACAGGGATGAATTATGATTTACTTGTGCATGTATGTGTCCCATGGAGTTAAATATCCAAACTTCTTCATTTTGTACAGGCTCAGATGCTGTAAACCCAGGATACATGATAATAGCTACTCTGAGAAGAATATGGCGCTATGTATTATATTGAATAGCATGCTATAGCACATGCCATAATTTCATTATAAATGGAGGAAAAACATACTTGCATGTTGAAATCTACATTCATATTTTTCCTATGCAATTTACAGTGCTAAAAAACCCTCTCATTAAACTGCTTAGAATAAACAAAAGTGCCTACAAAAATGTACACGTTAATGGAAACCACATGCGCCATGATAGCGGAAATTGCAAAAGGTATGTACACTAGTGCAGGGGATGTAAAAATGTGTTTATAAAGAAACGCATGCAAAATGTATTCATTCGCTTTTGTTAAGTGCTACAAAAATGGGATAAAAGGAGTCTAATGCCTGGCAAACAAACGGAGAGGTTCACCTATTCCTAGTTTTCATGGGGCACTTCAGCACAGATGTGCAAAAGTTCAAAGACAATTTAAAAATGGAAATAAATCATGTTCATCCAAATGTGTAATACTGTCATTGTAAGGGTACACAAATTACGCATTATATTCAGATGGCATTAACCTATTACTGCTGAAAGATTCTGAGAAAGTGACAGTACATCCTATTGGGTTGCAAAAACCACCTATCAGGAAATACAACCCCTTTAACCAAAGGTTCTGAGGTCCTGTAGAGACCAAACTGGTTTATGAAATGACTGAAGAGTTCTCTTCCAGCATTGATCAGGCCACCCCACTCCTAAGGTCTTTGCACCAGATATTTTACCCTGTGCAGATGAAAGCTTCCAACTTTTACAATCAGCCCTTAAATTTAAGTCTCTCCCTCACCTCCTCTTTACTCCCGGTTTCTTTCATCTTGTCCGCAGTCTCTCTACCCCGGATCTCTTCATTTTATATTGTTCCCTTGGTGCCCTTTTGGCAGGCTTCTGGGTCCTGGTGCAGAATGTTACTTTTTTCCCCCCCTTTTCAAATCGCAAACGTGTGTTCTTTTTCAACTGTAATAAAAATAACCTCAATGTGAGAAGGAAATATTAAACCCTCTTTGTGCGCGCGTTACATTCCCTCTCCCCCAGGTTTTTTTTTTTTTAAAGTACAATGTTTCTTTAAAAGTCTCCATCTGCATTTCCCATTAGATGCGCCTCTAAGGTTTCGGGTGATTAATCGCTGCATACTTGGCTTTGGTTGGAGAGGCTGGGGATGCGGGTTAAGCCCTCCCTCTTTCACATTTCTCTTCCTAAACTTGTTACTCACACCCCAGCAAAGTCTTTAAAAGTGTTTTCTGGGCTCTGCTGTTCCACAGCAAGCGAGCGCCCGGCCTGGGAAGGAAGGGGCGTTCTCCCGCGGAAATTAAGGGAGACTTTCGCCAGGCTTCCCAAGCGACTCGACCCACGACCTATTGAAAGCAGCAGGCCGCGGCGCTTTCGCCTCTCGGCGCTTACTTTCCGCCCGAACTCCTTGCTCTCCGACGCTTTCATCCCGAAGCTCCCCGCGGGGCTCCATGGATCCACCTGTCGCCAGTAGCTGCATGAGGAATCCTCACCCTCCCTCCGCGCTCTGGGGATGCCTGCGCCGCCCCCACGTCGAGGGCCGAGGACCCGCCGAGCCGCCCCGCTACCCTCAAGCCCCCTTTGCGCTCCACCAGAAACCAGACTTGGGGCTTTACGCGGACTTCTCGGCCTCCTGCCTGGCCACGGCCCCCCAGAGCCTCCCTCGCGCCGAACGCGCTTTCGAGGAACGTGGCGCTTCCTTCCAGCAGCCCGCCTGGCATTTGGCGGCCTCCGAGAGCAGGCGGATGCTGTCGGCGGAGTTGGCTTTGGGGTCAGGGGGGCTGGAGGGGGGCAGCCCCAGCGTGGGGGATACCAGCGAAAATGACCTCTTGACAGGGACCGTGGCAGGCGACGCTGGGAATAAAACAGCCCGTCGGAGAAGGGGAAACGAAGGTAGGTGGTCCATAAGGAAGATGCGCGCAGCTCGGCTTGGTCTTCATGCCGTCTTTAACTGCGGAGATTCTCCAAGCCCTTCTCTGTTCTAGCTACGAGATAAACTGGGTGCATTTATATCAGATCCTGAATCGAATTTCTGAATTAACTCATTTTCTGGATTTGCCCAATCCATTACATCATAACCAAATGGGCTGAATTTGCAAGCCAGAAAAAAGATAACGAACACTAAATCTGTCAGATTTGCATGTTGTGCAGGTACAGCTGCTAGTGTGTTGTGTGAACACAGTCATGTAGGCCTTCAGAAGAAATAAGATCAATTATTTTCAATTATATATTCAATTATATAATTATAAAAAAACAAATGTCACAGGAAAGAGCAGAGATGAAGCTGTGAGAGATTCACTGATAATATAACTGGGTTCATGCCTCATGCTTAACTAGGATTTCTTTAGCCATGGTTTGTTGAATACACTATAGTTGGGTGGGTTTGTTGCTCTGGAGAGCATAGCACAAGAAACAATGGCTTACATACACAGCATATTAAGAAAAATCCAGGCTAACTACATTCTGATTTAAGACAATACTTGAATCCAACAATGCATGGAAAAATCAATTTGTGAATATCTAAATGTCAATAATGAGAGGAGCTGACTGGGTCTCAGGGAAGGAGGGTGGATTTCCACAGCCAAGATAGCATCACTTGACCCTCTTACATCCTAGCTAAATTCATTGGAAATGGAGCAGAGCCTCCTGAGAGAATTGACTTATGAGATAATGTGACCGTGTTGTTTTGGGCTGTTCTTAATATGGATTTTATTCAATTTGGTGTTTAAGATATAATGCAGTTTTCAGGGTTAGTGTGTTTTATGAACCCAACAATGGGCTAATTTCACACACGTTAAACCCTAAACTGGGATTAACGAAACATAATTGCTACCTTTGCATGTCATGCACAACATGCAATGCCTAAACAAATAAACTATATTATTGTTTAAAGTTAATACTTTAAACTCACTACTCAACCCCACTTGAACCTATTTAGTGTGCAGTGTAAATCTAGCAATTATATTGAAGAGATTAGGCCCTTTTGATGCTCTCAAAATAATCTTGGAAATTGTTATTCTAGAATAGGGAAGAACAACATGTAATCTTCCCAGTGCTGTCAGTCTCCAGTATCCAACCACCCCCACTTATGGCCAACAAACAGGGAGATGGAAAAAGGATTTCAACAACATTTGGAGGGCCAGAAGTTGCCATGTATGTGTTAAGATCCCAGGGGAAACACGTTTCTACAGAAATGAGACTCCTCTTTCACTTTGGAATGGTGGCCGTACTGCATAAACATCTTTGGAATTTCATTGAATGATACCTGGGACTCCAAATATCCGAACTTGACCACTCTACAAAGTGGAAAGTAGAGAAAAGTGGAAAGTGGAAAGAGAGAAAAGTGGAAGTTGGATTTATTTAAAATAAGAGCATATTTGATTCCTCTTTGAAATGTGGTTATTTCCAGGATGTAGTAATTCCAGATAAGGTTACCAGTTTGCAATCTGGAGATATTGTATAGCAACTCTTTAAAGAGAAGACTTTGAGATAATGCCAGTTTGTCTTCTACTGCCAGAGTAAGATCACCTGAGTAGAAAGGTGTGGTATAAATCAAATAAATATATAATAATGCCCCATTTTTCAATTACTTCCCTTATTTATACACATGAAATGAGCTTGTTACAGCAGGTGGAGGAAGAGGATGGCAGTGAGATCAATGGAATAATAAAGTGGTAGAAGCCATCTTAACCATGAGTGGAATTACAGTATTTCTAGCTCACAGTTTGGCAACTCTGATTTCAAAGCATTTGGCTAAAAGCGAGGGGTGGGGGGAGAGAATGTATTGTGGCTTACACATGAATCTGAAATTAGGTCTTGCCCTGTTCCAGATGTGGTGGCTACTCAGTGGTGTGAAGGTATTCAGAGTATAACTGAGTCATTCTTGTCTGTTGGATTACACATTTTGTGGAGTTAAGATCCAGCACCAAAAATACATTCCTGCTGATACTGATCATTGATTTCCTTCCTTCCACCCACCCACCCACCCATCCATGCAGTGCTTTGGATTCTATTCTGGAATGGTGCTTTGGAGCTGAGGGAGTTATTTAATGATCTGCAACTCTTTAAAGCAGCTGTGTCTTTCCTTGTGATCTACACACACGTACACGGGCACATATATACCCCCATATACTGTATAGTATATTGCACACATATATTTTCTCATGAACAGTTGAAGTCTCAGATATGCAAGTTTGAAGATTCTCCTAGACTCTTATTAGTGGAAGGGCGAAGGGGGCGAGAGTGCAGTTTGGACTACCTGGAGAAAGTGGATGTTCAAGTTCTTCTGTAATTTTGTGCTGACATCTACTTTGCATTTTTTCAGAACTTTTCTTTCTCTGAGAAAAATACTCCCCACCCCCATCTTTTCAGGAAGTGTTCTTGAGAATTTCTTTCAAATTTCTGTTGTTGGTAGTGCGGGGTTGGTTTAACTTATTTTGTTGTTGAAAGCCACAGAGGCCGCAACTGATGATGATGCTTTATGTTGTATATCTTTCCATCCCTCTGAAATCTCCCTGGTTACCCACACTTCCTGAACTGGAAAAACAAATCACTGTGAGAAGTTCCCTTGTGATATCTTCCCTTGGAATTTAATGGAGGTGTGGAAAACCAGAGAGACTGCAGACCTTTCAAGAGGGGATTCACAGCTGCCCTGGAAAAATACATGTTTGGTTTAAGGGCTTTTTTTGTCTTTGAATCCAAAGACTGCACAACCCTAACTCGCACATCACCAGTGGGTAGGTCAAGGCCAGCCAAAGTTAAATGAGTAGTCAGAGCTTAGTGAGAGAGTATCTTTTTAGCAGACAGAAGCCTCTGGGTGCAGTTCTTGTAGCACCAATTAAAAAATATCCATGTAGTGAGCAATAGCAATAGTTTCTGCATGAGAAGTTGCTGCCAGTCAAAATAGAGAAGCTTGGGTAGATCTGGCTAAGAGAGCGCAGAATCCTGGTTGGAATGGGTGGCCATCTGCTGATGTATTAAATCAGTCCCCATTTTATCCATACCTTAAAGCTCTGACATATAGCCCATCTTCATTTATTGAGGTATGGTAAAATGGGGACTGATTCACATACAAAGTTCTGGTAATAACTTTTAGCTAGCCGCACTTGAATTCTAAAAGTCATGGTCTCTGGAAGCCAAGTCAGCACACACTCATGGTAGTTTGTCAACTGATTAAGACCTTATTTAGGAGTACATTGGTTCCACAGGAAGTGTAAATTTTACTTATTACCCTTGTCTGCTTATCCTATCCCTACTTTTGCAATTCTTTGTAATATTAATGAGGTTTATATTTTTTAATGTTGCCTGTTCTGAGTGTGCATAAACCCTGGAAGGGTAGAATATAGTCTTTTAAGTGAATGCTTAAAAACCACAGTAATCTGATTTTTGCTCAGGGGTGGGTAACATGGGAGATCAACCAAGGATACTCAAGTTGAATTTTATGTCAAGCAACTAACTTCCCTTGTTCTTACATTTTATTCATCTTCCAGGACAAAAACGTGTCATGGGGGAGGGCTAGATAGCTAAAGTGATGGGGTTATTTAATGCAGACTCACATCACAAACCAAAAATCCAGGAGCTACCACATGAGACCTAAATCATTTGAGGTTTGATGAGTTGCTCTCTTCTAGACAGAAATCCCACCTCATGTCAAGGTCCTGCATTTTGTTAGAGTTGGTGGTCAGAGCTAAACATCTGTGTCAGGTTCTGTTCTGACTTCTGGACTCATCCAGATTCTCTCCTCCCCCGTGTGCAGATTGGCTTTGCTACCCAGGGATTAGAAAGTTAAGTCAGCCACTATTCTTTAATAATCACAGTTTGTGATTACAGATTATTTAAAATGTAATTAAGGCTAGAATTAGTCAATGTCCAGTAATGCCCAAGGAACCTTTTTCTGGATAGCTTAAAGTCAGATAAAGGGAGTCAAAAGCAATGATTAAACTCAGCGTTGATAAAATATTTTTTTAGCCCACCTTTTGGCTTTAAAAAGCCAGCTGCAGTTCCACTAACGTTTAAAAACATTTCAGACTTAGATGAAGTTGGCAAATGTGTGCAGGAAGCATATGTCTTTTTCTCTGTATATTTTTGGGCTTATTTGCTTTAAAGCTCATGTACATTTTCCCTTCAGCTGGTACCAGATTTTCATTGCATTGTTACCAGCTGCTCTCTGTTTTTGTAGGCTGCTGCCCTGGTATAAATGCATGATGAATAGGAAGCATCTTTTTCATCATTTGCAGTAACACTAACAAGACACCTAAGCATCCATCGGGGTTTTTGCTTGTCTGTTTCAAAGTGAAAGACTGGTGCTTTCCAGGATCCGCCTGACCCCTTCTTATTTCCTCTGCCACATATCATTTAATTGGATCGCTTGAAGCATCTGGAGTGTTACGTTCCATAGAAACCTTGCAGTGGTACATTTGCCTGGCTCATATTTTCTGCTTGCAGCAAACAGAATTGTAGTGTGTGTATAATTTATTTGGTAGCTTTTATCATTTGTGTACTGCAGCAACAACTTAGGATTCTTTGGATCTTTTCCTCTCTTCTTTTTCCCAGCCTTGGGCTGTGTTCACACAACATGCCAGCCACTGGTTTAACTAAGCCACCATTTGTTGATTCATCCAGTGTTCTGGGTTCACCCAATGGACTGAGCCGCCAACTATCGAGCCTAAGAGTCGGGGGGGGGGGGTGGGTTTGGTGCTGTCCTGTTTTAAAGAGA